TAAGGCTCCCCGCCTGAAGAGGAAGAGGAAGACGAGGGCCAACAGGGGAGGCTCTCGGGCAAAAAGAAGGGGGCGCAGAGGAAAGGTGGGAGGTGGGGAGTCAGGGTCCTCTTCAGGGTGGACCTCTGAAGACAGCGTCTCCTCAGGGGGGACGGTCACCAGCAGGCACGGGGTGGGGCAGATGAAATCGTTCCTGCTGGCCACCAAGAACCAGAGAGGAGTGGATCTGGAGGAAAACTTCTCCGACTTGGAGAAGTTCGCTCGCTCCGTTCAACATGGCTGCACGAAGAAGGGTGCAGCAGACTACACCCAGCGGGAGGTCTTCCGACTACGGAAGATCAACCTCAAGATCACCAGGGAAGGAGGAAATGGGGCTGAGTGAGGCGTCTGACCGGCGGAGGAGGATCCTGAGCAAGAAGACGGGCCAATGCAAATGAGATGAAATGACTGTAATTGTTTTTTTTATGTAAAATAAAGATTTTCTAAAAATCCATCTCTCTCTCTCTCTCTCTCTCTCACTGAGCGGAGTGTACGGAGCGTGAGGTGAATTGTTTGACAGCGTTTTCTATCCGTTATTTCGGTGTGGTTTCTGGTGTGTGTTGTGGTGTGAATGCGTGTTGGTGTGTATGTGTGACTTTTCTTTCTTTTTATGTTTTTTTGTCCGTGTTTGTAGCCGGTCGGCATGTCGGACCTCCGTGGAGGACTGCGGTCTGGCCGTGGGGGGGTTGGTGGGTCACGGGAGTGTGAAGTCCGCCGCGTGGATGAACTGCGCGGTGGTCATTTTTGTAGATAGAGTGGAGAAGGCGAGCGGCGTGGTGGTCCGTGGGGCGCACGTGCCCGTTTTTCCACTCGCCGTGCCGGCCGTCAGGGTGACGGTAGCGAACGTTCCACCGTTCGTCCCGGCAGTTCGTTTGCCAGTTCCTCTACCACGAAGCGCTGGTAGAGGAACTGGCAAAACACGGGAAGGTGGTGTCCCCGTTAAGGACGATGTCCTCATGGTGCAAATCACCCTTGCCGAGACATGTCGTCTCTCACAGGAGACAGACCCACATGGTCCTCACCAAAGCCCAGGCTCTCAGCCTGGTGATTAAAGTGAGGATCGAGGGGTTTGATTATGTTATGTTTGCCACATCGGATGACGGGAGGTATTTCCGATGTGGTGGAGAGGGACACCTGGCGAGGGTGTGTCCGGAGAAGAACCCCTCTTCAGGTCAGAGTCCTCTTCAGGGTGGGCCTCTGACAACAGCGTCTCCTCAGGGGGGACGGTCACCGGCAGGCACGGGGTGGGGCAGATGAAATCGTTCCTGCTGGCCACCAAGAACCAGAGAGGAGTGGATCTGGAGGAATACTTCTCCAACTTGGAGAAGTTCGCTCGCTCTGTTCAACATGGCTGCACGAAGAAGGGTGCTGCAGGGCCAAGCTGGACGTCAGCAGCAGCGTCACACCTGGCCTGACGGGGGCGCTCCGAAAAACAAAAACATTGTGCCTGCAGCAGCTGGTGGACGCAGTGGGGCCGACACTGAATACTTAGTATTTTAACTGCGTGAAGGTCACAAACAGGACTGGACTGTGCAACAGGCTCCCCACTGTGTGGTCCAACAGACTTGGACAAAATGGACCGGGCCCACAGTAGAGGATTTTATACAAACCTCCCCTCAAAAAACGGACTGCCGACCTCCAGTGGAGAATTTTACATGGTGCTGTCGCCTCCAACGCTTTTATCTCTGTTCTTAATCCCTCTGTTCTTAGCCAGTGCCCTTTCTGTGAGCTCAGAGAGACTATTTATCATGTTTTTACTGAGTGTAAGCGACTGACAGGGTTCTTCTCTCTTTTAACATCGGTTTTTAGTCTTTTTAGCGTGTTTTTTATGGAAAGGGTTTTTATCATGGGAGCTGCCTACAAGAAAACGGAAAAAGAAAAATGGCAGCTCCTTAACTTTCTGTGCGGAGAGGCTGGAGTTTAGGTTTTATAAACACATTGGGGACTTGGACGCTTTTAAACAGCGCTGGTGTTTTAATGACATTGTTTGTTCTGTGGTCAATGACGAGCTGGTATTTGTTTTTAGCGGGTGATTACATAGTTTTATTTTTTGTTTTTTGATGTTTTATTTTTTTCTTGGAAGGAAAAAAAAACAAAAAGTTGCACGTTTGATCATATTGTTTAAAGGATAAAAGATACAAATGTGTAAATAAAGTGTTTTTCAAAAATTCTCTCTCTCTCTCTCAGGTGTCCACGTTATGCAGAGGATGGTCACCTGTGAATGGGATGATGAGACCAATGAGGTCAAGGGTTATGATCAGTATGGTTATGATGGAGAAGACTTCCTATCATATGACCTGCAGACAGAGCAATGGATCGCTCAAAAACAGCAGGCTGTCATCATCAAAGAGAAGTTGGATCGGAACCGAGATCTGACCGCAGGGAACAATGACTGCCTGACACCTTTTTGTGGTCGATATCTGAATATCTACTTGAACTACGGGAGGAGCTCTCTGATGAGAACCGGTAGGATCACATGACCTGATGTCCTTCCATGGACACGATGCTCATAAACCTTCTGTTGTTTCATAGCAACATGTCAGAGACACACAGAGACCCACTGTGTCTCCCACATTTCTCCCCCCTCACCTCCTTCTCTCCTTCACTGCACTCCCTCCCTCACTCCCCCCCTCACACCTGTCCCCACTCTGTCCCTCCATCCTCTTTGTCTCTGCTGTGTTTCTGTCCGTCTCACTGTCTCTTTACTCTCTCTCACACACTGTCCTCCTCCCCTTCCAATCCGTCTCACCCCTCTTCATCTGTTTGTCTCCCTTCTTTAATCAATGAAACTTTAAAGACATTTCATTCTTTTAGTAAACTTAAATACACATAGTTGAGTGTTAAAGAGGCATTTTAAATACATCAAAGATGAATGATATTAATACACTAAATATCATTGATAATAATAAAGATGTAACCTGTCCCTCTCTTCTGTCTCCAGAGCGTCCCTCGGTGTCTCTCCTCCAGAAGACTCCCTCCTCTCCAGTCAGCTGCCACGCTACAGGTTTCTACCCCGACAGAGCCGACCTCTTCTGGAGGAAAGATGGAGAGCAGCTCCATGAGGACGTGGACCTCGGAGAGATCCTCCCCAACCACAACGGGACCTTCCAGATGAGGGTTGACCTGAAACTGTCCTCCGTCCCTGCTGAAGACTGGAGGAGGTACGACTGTGTGTTCCAGCTGTCTGGTGTGGACGAGGACATCGTCACCAAACTGGACAAGATCAGGACCAACACGGGTAGGTCTGAGACCCGGAGCGGTGAAGGAGGGAAGCAAACATCCACTTTGTTCACTTTGTGTGTTTTAGATTCGGGAAGTTTTGTTTTCTTACATTCCCACTGCGCAATGTGACGTCAGAGTGACGTCTTTTCTAGGTCATTTTGGACGTCCAATTTTGGTCCACTGAAGGGCTTGTTTTGTAACGTCAGGTGACGTCTTTTTTTGACGTCTACTGCACGTCTAATGTCCGTGGGACCTCTTTTAAAAATAAAAATGTGTGTCGTTAAGGCATGCTTGGCCATTCGCTACGATATAAGGCTAAACATAAGTACGCATGGACATTCAATGCTTCGAACACGCTGAATCGTGCCAAATGTCTGGCGTGTTGCCTTGACCGAGTGGCGTTTACATGATGTGTTGCTTCAGCCAATCAGAGTGACGTTGACTGGTTTTTAAATCTTTGGTTGAATTCCAAAGCCCGTCCTCAGCTGTGACTTTTCTGCTGTTGTCGGTTATTTTGAGATCAGTGACCATCGCCCTACTACTACTACGCTACTTCAAATGTATTTATTAATTTAATAAAATTAAACATTTTTTTATTATTAGTGTTCAGTAGGTTTTTTTCACTAAAACGGGAAAATTACCCACTGAATAACTAAACAGGCATGCACATATTAAATCATGTTCATGAATAATGTAGGCTATTCATATCATGAAACATGTTGATATTTGTAAATAAACAGCCTGTCATTGACGACCAGATGACGTCCACAAAACTTACCCGCTTCGAAGGTCAAATTTTGAACGTAAATATGACGTCCAAGTTGGGTCATGGTTGGACGTCCAAATAGTGGACCTAGTATGGACATTGAATAGATGTCCAGAATTGGTCATGGACCGACGTACCCAATATAGACATGATCTGCACGTCTATCCGACGTCCAATGTTTAGTGGGTTTCTAGTCTAGTTTTTATTTGTAGTTATTTTAAGACTCGGATCAGAATTAAACACAGCGAGAGTTATGAACACAGTTTACTGGTCTAGATTAATATATAAATGTGTCAATATTTGGTTCATTTCTCTGTAAATAAGTTTATTCATCCTTTTGTAAACTCATTCCAGGTAAGAGCTTTATTTCAGTCCATGCTGAACTATTGTAACGTGTCACCACAACACTACATTAACATTAACACTACATTAACTAGGAACACACACATATTCATCAAAATGGAGTCAAAGTAGTTTGTGGTAAATGATTTAGTTTTCTATTTTATGTATTTGTTTCTCTCTTTAGGTTTATGGGTGAATGTTGCTCTGGATCACAACCAGATGCTCCACATTCTTCTCCATAAACTGTCAATTTATAGCTCATTCATCTTTCATTTAAACGTCTGAATCGGGGTTGGTGAACATCTGGAAACTGAGGAAACATCAATAGGGGCGTGGAGCGCAGAGAAATCGCCATTCTCTGCCTCATAGTCCATCTTGGTGTCAGGGTTGGGTAGGAAGGCAGGACTATAAATGTGTCAATTTTTGGTTCATTTCTCTGTAAATAAGTGTATTCATCCTTTTGTAAACTCATTCCAGGTAAGAGCTTTATTTGAGTCCGTGCTGAACTATTGTAACGTGTCACCACAATTCAGACGTTGTAGAATCTGCATTCACACAACTACTGGTCACTTAAAGATGAGTAGACAGAATGATTAAACACGTGTATTAATACATGTATCCATCAGTGAATCAGACAGAGCAAAGTTCAGGAAGGAGGTTGAATATGTGTCTCAGTCATCATGTGCAGACGGCATAAAGAAATGACGTCACATGGTGTGTGTGTGTTCAGGTCTGCTGGATAAGTGGATCTTCTTCTCTTCTGACCTGCTTCATCTGTTCAGCTTGAGACTCTTTGATTGTTTTGTGATCCACAGAGAAGCCTGCTGCCTCCACCTCCACCTCCATCATCATCATCATCATCATCATCATCGCTGTGGCTGTTCTTGTCGCCATCATCGCTGCTGTGGTTGGATTCAAGGTTTACAGAAAGAGGAACGGTGAGAGAGACGATCAGAGACACAGTGTTGAGGAGCATTTGATTTTAGGCTTTGAGTTGATGCTTTTATCCAGAATGAGACACTGAAGCAACTTTCACCGTCACACTTATAAAACCATATTTGCTTTTATTCTGCATTTATTGTTTAGTGCCATTTTACTTTTAGACAATTCTGTGATTGTTTTGCACTTGACAGAGACAAATTCTCTTTTTATTTTCAATTTCTTTCTATTTCAGCCCAACGCTCTTCTTCTTCTTCTTCTTCTATTGACGGCTCTGAGCTCTGAGGAACTGAATCCTAAACCTTGAAGTCGGCGTCCTGCACACAGTGAGTAGCTCCACGTGGACATGAACTATTCACAGCTGCTGTTCCACAAAGCTGCCCTCAGTATGAGCACAAGGAGCTTCTCATGTAAAGAAGTCTTTGACTTTTTCTACAACAAAGGTGCAGTTTGGTTCCGTGAGACGTGAGATTATTAAGAGAAAGACACAGAAAGCTTCACATCAGCTCCTCAGATAAAGTCTGATATTCAAAGCTCTTACATTAACTTCTAGGAACTCACTAACTTATCAAAATGGAGTCAAAGTAGTTTGTGGTAAATGATTTAGTTTTCTCTTTTATGTATTTGTTTCTCTCTTTAGGTTTATGGGTGAATATTGCTCTGGATCAACAAGCGATGCTCCACATTCTTCTCCATAAACTGTCAATTTATGGCTCATTCATCTTTCATTTAAACGTCTGAATCAGGGTTGGTGAACATCTGGAAACTGTGAGGAAACATCAATAGTCACATTTAATTATTTGGATAGTTTGGTTTTAATAAAAAGGTTCAAATAAAATAAAACAAGGATGATTATTTTAGGAGACGTTCAAATCAATGAAAGCATCAAAGTGCTCACAGACTAGTGTGTTCATCTCAAACAAATCCACCATATTTACTCTTTGATACTTCTGCTGTTTGGGTTGAATCATTGTTGGTAACAAACACACACGCACACACACACAAAATATTGACATTAAAACAACATTTATTTTCTGATTGTGTAAATAGTTTGCTTGTATTTTTCTTTGCAGTAGACAGAATTTAACAGGTTGAAGAAAATAATAATTTGAGGGTTTTCTGAATAAATCAGTGTGTTTATTGGTTCATAACGTCTTTTGCTCCATTTTAAAGAATCATATTATTTAAATTTGGGTTTGAAGCATCCGAGCACACTGATTGAAATGTTATTGACTATTTCTTGCTGCTGTTTTGGATCAAGGGATGTTTTCCTTCTTGGTTTTGTGGGAGTTGAACAGTGATGCTCTGAATCACTTCTTGTTTTGTAGATGAAGGTGGAATGAAGTTGCTCCATTTCCCCTTTTTGTACCTTTGTCCTGCTGTTCAATAAACGCTCCAGATGTTTGTGTGTTGTTGTGATTCCATGTGCTTCCCCTCTGTGACTGCAGCCACAATCACATGCATGTTGTTTCCCTTTGGACTCTAAACGTCGTGTTCTTCACTTCACTGGTTTAAAGCATGCTGGGAGTTGCTGCAAATGGAAGACTCACATCGCCTGAGATCATTTTATCGTAACAAAATAACATTTGTAAATCTTGCGTCTTATGAGCACATGTTGTGGTCGTAGGCAAGGCAAGGCAAGGCAATTTTATTTGTATAGCACTTTTCATACACAAGGCAGACTCAAAGTGCTTCACATTATAACATTTCATACAATAAAGTGAAATAAAATGCAGGAATTAAAAGACAATTAAAAACAGCAAATAAAATTATAAATTAAAATCTTGTTTAAATTGTTTAATTAAAAGCAGAGGTTAAAAGTGCAATGTAGGTAAAATTTAGCAGAAGGCGAAGCTGAACATAAAAGTTTTCAGTCTTGTTTTAAACGTGGTCAGAGTTGGGGCAAGTCTTAAATCTTCAGGAAGTTTATTCCAGCTGTTTGTTGCGTAGTAACTAAATGATGCTTTCCCATGATTTGTATTTACTCTGGGAATCAGTAACAGATTGGTGTCAGAAGATCTTAGTGATCTTGAAGGCTTATGTAGTGGAAGCATCTCAGTGATATACTTTGGTCCTAAACCATGTAGTGATTTATATGTGAGCAGTAGGATTTAGAAATTAATTCTCTGACATACTGGGAGCCAATGTAAGGATTTAAGAATTGGTGTAATGTGCTCACATTTTTTGGTCTTTGTTAGAACTCTAGCAGCAGCGTTCTGAACAAGCTGGAGCTGCCTGACAGTTTTTTTTTGGAAGACCTGCAAGGAGACCATTACAATAGTCTAGCCTACTAGTTATAAAGGCATGTACAAGTGTTTCTAAGTCTTGAGCTGACATGAGCCCTCTAAGTCGTGCTACATTTTTGAGGTGGTAGTAGGCCGATTTTGTTACTGATTTGATGTGACTCTCCAAGTGTAAATCTGAATCCATAATAACCCCCAGATTTCTGGCTTTATTTGATGTTTTCAAGGACAGAGAGTGAAGGTGTTGGGTTACTTTAAACCTTTCTTTTTTAGCACCAAATACAATGATCTCAGTTTTGTCTTCATTTAGTTGTAGGAAATTTTGACACATCCAGTCTTTGATTTGCTCAATGCACTGGCACAGAAGATCTATGGGGCGATAGTCGTTTGGTGATAGCGCTACATAGATTTGGGTGTCATCAGCGTAGCAATGGTGGTCAATTTTATTTCTTTGCATGATTTGTCCTAGTGGGAGCATGTAGATGTTGAATAAAGTCGGCCCTAAGATCGAACCTTGGGGAACTCCACACGTTACGCCGGGTGTTTCTGATACAAAGTCACCAATGGAAACAAAATAGTTCCTGTCTTGTAGATATGACCTGAACCAGCTTAAGACTGTGCCTGAGAGCCCCACCCAGTTTTCAAACCTGTCCAAAAGTATTGAGTGGTCGACAGTATCAAATGCAGCACTGAGGTCTAATAGCATTAATATTGAAGTTTTGCCAGAGTCTGTGTTAAGACGGATGTCATTTACTACTTTAATAAGGGCCGTCTCGGTGCTATGAAGAGGTCGAAATCCTGACTGGAAGTTGTCGTGGCAGCCAGTTGAAGCCAGGAAGTGATTAAGTTGTTGTAGGACAACTTTCTCAATTATTTTACTTATTACTTTTACGTCGTAGTATCTACAATGATCTGAATATTCAGTGTTCTCTGTTGTCTCTGAGGATAAATGGACGAGTCTTTGACCTGCAGACGTCCAACAAAAGAGCAAGAAGAGTGAACATTTTAGGGGCAAAGCACTGATTCTTCACAGATATCTGAAGAGGGTTTTACTTTCCATTAAACAAGAAACCATGAGACGCATTGATTAAGACCGTCCTAATCAACACGTGTGTGAAATCGTTGAACAGGACATTTATTAAAGAACACTAGAAGTAGGAGCAGAGTTGAAACAAGTCGTGTGTTGAGTTGCTGCTCGGAGGTCTGCGTCTCAGCCCTCTGATTTATATACTTGAGATAACACACACACGTTATGCTTGAAGGTGGAAGGTCTGCGTTTTAGTCTCCCAATTCATGACATAAGACATGCGTCAAGGCTTCTCCGAGGTCTGTGTCTCCGTCTGGTTGAGATAACACACACTAGTTACTCATCCAGGCTTCTCTGCTGGGAGGTCACACACTCTATGGGGTGACTAACTACTGTGACTAAGACCAAACATTATTTAAGTTTTTCCAACGTGCTCTCTCTCCTGTATGATTTTCTTTACCGCAGCTTCTTTTACTTCTTGTTTGTTTCTGGGTGTTTCTCCCTTCAGTCTCCTCTTAAGGAGGTGAAATGCATGCTCTATTGGGTTAAGGTCAGGGGCCGGTATTTCAAAACTTGTAACCCAGATCAGAATGATCCGGGAAAAGTTGGTTGCCAACCGCCAATCAAAACCAGAAGAAGAAGAAGAACGATCCGGATAACCAAATCCCCCTGTCCTCAGCCACGGATCAACTTGATCTATCCCGGTATTTCAAGACTTTGCCGGATTGGATCAGAGTGATCCTGATACCGGCAGATTGGGATGTCCAAATCCGTCCCGCCCCCTGGATCACTGGCAGGAAACAGGAAATGGAGCGAATATGTTACAGAAAAAAGGAGAAGCTGGCACAACTATTGTCTCTAAATGTACGTATCGTCTTGGTCAGTGTTGATGCGTCCTAGGCCCGGTATTTCAAAATGATCCCACAGGATTAATTCTCCTGGATTGGATTAAATCCTGATCAGATCCTAAAAACGGGTATTTCAAAGCAAATCTGATCCTGAAGATTCAGATTCAGATTTGGTAATCCAATCCTGCCTTTGATCCGGATAAAACACTGCTGTTGAGTATTTCAAAACTTTAGTGGGAAATCTGGATCAGTTTGATCCTAAAAATCAGGATTACCCTCATCCCACCTAGGAGGTGGATTTGAGGGAGATTACATGTTATGGTTTGAACAGTTTAAGTGTAACTGCTCCCAAAGTTCTTTGTTTGATACAGTAGCTACGCTTCACTGCTATTTCTATGTTTAAGTTTGAATATGAATGCCTTATTTAAGCAACAGTCACGTTAAGTTATACCCACTGATAAAGGCCTCCACTCAAACCAGTCAAATGTATTTATTAACATGCATGCAGCACACACACTTAATTTCCATAGCCAAAGCTCAAAAGGTTATGCCATTTGGAGCAGGTCTGTGTTAACTGGCTGTCTTCTCTTTCCACAGACATCTGTAAAGAAAAGCAAATATTAAGGTTTTAGAGCTGTCCCTTTAGTTGATAACTGTTTCCTAAAAAGATATGTACAACACGACAAGACTATACGTACATTTAGAGACAATAGTTGTTCCAGCTTCTCCTTTTTTCTGTAACATATTCGCTCCATTTCATGTTTCCTGCCAGTGATCTAGGGGGCGGGACAGATTTGGACATCCCAATCTGCCGGTATCAGGATCACTCTGATCCAATCCGGCAAAGTTTTGAAATACCGGGATAGATGAAGTTGATCCGTGGCTGAGGACATGGGGATTTGGTTATCCGGATCATTCTGATCTGGATTACAAGTTTTGAAATACCGGCCCCAGGTGATTGACTTGGCCAGTCTAAAACCTTCCACTTTTTCTCCCTGATGAAGTCCTTTGTTTTGTTGGCAGTGTGCTTTGGGTCATTGTCCTGCTGCATAATAAACTTCCTCCCGATTAGTTTCAATGCATTTCTCTGTAAATTGACAGACAAAATGTTTCTTTACACTTCTGAATTCATTCTGCTGCTACCATCATCAATAAATATCAATGAGCCTGTTCCAGAAGCAGCCATGCACGCCCAAGCAATGACATTACCTCCACCATGCTTCACAGATGAGCTTATATGCTTTGGATCATAAGCAGTTCCTATCTCACTTTGGCCTTTCCATCACTTTGGTAGAGATTAATCTTGGTCTCATCAGTCCATAAGATTGTTATGTGTTCCAGAACTTTTGCGGCTCATCTCTGTACTTCTTTGCAAATTCCAATCTGGCCTTCCGATTCTTACTGCTGATGAGTGGTTTGCATCTTGTGGTGTGGCCTCTATATTTCTGCTCTGAGTCTTCTTCGAACAGTGGATTGTGATACTGTCGCCCCTGCACTGTGGAGGTCGTTGGGGATGTCACTTACTGATGTTTTGGGGGTTTTCTTCACAGCTCTCATACTTC